GAACCCGTGCATTCTGGTCTCTCGCCATAGCTGTCCAGGTCTCAATCTCTTCCATCTCTGCACAGGGAGGACGACTCACTGGCCCATACCGAAAAGGAGAAAGCCGATCTTCTAGGCTCTTTCTTTGCGTCCAACTCGACTCTCGATGACGGGGGGAGTACGCCGCCGACCATCCCGCGGTGTGAGTGCTCCATGCCGGAAGTACAGTTCACACAGCGCTCGGTTCGCAAAGCACTCCTCTCCCTGGACATCCACAAGTCGAGTGGGCATGACGGAATCCCCCCAATTGTGCTGAGGACGTGTGCTCCAGAGTTGGCACCGGTTTTAACGCGTCTTTTCCGGTACTCCACTACAAGGCGTAGTCCCAAAATCATGGAAGACGGCTTTCGTCCACCCGATCCCTAAAAAAGGCGACCGCTCAGACCCCCGTCCAACTAACGTCCTATCGCCATCACCTCCTTGTTCTCCAAAACAATGGAGTCCATTGTAAACTGCCAGCTCATGAGGTACCTTGAGGATCACCAGCTGATTAGTGACCGCCAATACGGTTTTCGCCGTGGTCGGTCAGCTGGTGATCTTCTGGTCCACCTAACTCACAGATGTTCGGAGGCAGTAGAGTCCAAGGATGAGGCATTGGCCGTTAGTTTGGACATTGCGAAGGCCTTCGATCGGATTTGGCACAAAGCGCTTCTTTCGAAACTCCCTTCCTATGGGCTTCCCGAGAAATTGCACGATTGGATCACCAGGTTTCTTGCAGATCGGAGCATCAAGGTCGTTGTAGACGGTGCAAGCTCCGATTGCAAGCCTATTAATGCTGGTCTTCCACAAGGCTGCGTGCTATCGCCAACGCTGTTTCTTCTGCATATCAATGATATGTTGCAAACCCGTAACATTCATTGCTATGCAGATGACAGCACTGGTGATGCTCTTTACAATGGCCGAGCCAATATTTCTCGGGAAAACGTCTCCGAGTGCCGGGACAAACTTGTGTCTGAAGTCGAGTCTTTGCTGAACAGAGTCTCGGATTGGGGGCGACTAAATCTATTCCAGTTTAACCCCCAGAAGACAGAAGTTTGCGCGTTAACCGCTAAAAAGAACCCCTTTGTCGTATCTCCTCAGTTTCAAGGCACTCGCCTTGTTGCCTCGGCCAGTATCGGAATCCTCGGCGTCGACATATCGAGTGACGTGTAGTTTCGTGGTCACTTGGAAGAGAAGGCCAAAAAGAAATCCTCATTACCCTCCACCTCATCGTCGACGACCGAGTGCTTTTCGATCGGCTCGATTCACTGGCACTGCGAAGAAATGTTATATCATCTTTGCATTTTCTTTCGCATATACCATGGAAAGTGCGCTGAGGAATTGTTCGGATTAATCCCAGCCGCCAAATTTCGTGAACGCACTACGTGGCAAACGTCCCGATACCATCCACATCATCTGGATGCTTGACGGTCCACCACTGTACGTTTCATGAGGAGTTTTCTTCCGCGTAAAACCTTTCTGTGGAATAGTTTTAGTTTAGTGTTGCGGTTGATCATGGGCGGCGGTTGTCACTTAACATCAGGTGAGCCGCATGCTCGTTTGCCCCCTCTTCTATAAAAAAAATGTAGCATTGTCACTAACCAGCGTATGAAAGAGACCGAATCTAGACATAAATTCGTATAACTTAACTATCACGGCAGATGAAGACGTACTATTCATTTTATATGCTTCGACCCATTTCGAATACGCATCTACTATTAGTAAGTAAACTTGGTTATAAATGGGACCAAGAAAATCAATGTGTATCCTATAAAATGATTGAGGTGGATGAGGCCACACAGCGAGTGGTGCCCGTACCGGTGATGGTCGGAGTTGTGTGCATACCACGCAACTGCTGATCATCTCTTCGATAGCTTTATCTACACCAGGGAACCAAATCCTACATCTAGCTTCAGCTTTACACTTCACAATACCTAAATGTGATTTATGAAGTTCAGACATGACTTTTTTACGCAAAGTTATAGGTATCAACACTTTATGGCCTCGCATGACACGTTTTCGTAAGAAAGTTGAGTTTTACACAAAAAGTATGGACGTATTTTTTCATCCGTTTTTTTTTTGGCCAACCCTCCATGATATATTGAGCTACCTTATTTAACTCTAAATCTTTTTTTGTTTCCTCGTGTAAATTTTGTAACGTCACAGGTAAACTCGAGTCTATCACAAAATTAACATATGAGGCCCTATTCTCAAAAAAGTGCGCCGCCTTGCATATTTCATGGTCCATCACGGCGCGTGACTTAACACTACTTACGCTCGCGCGGGACAGAAAATCGGCGCAATTATCGGCACTACGAACGTACTCAATTTTAAAATTATATGCGCTTAAAAACATTGCATAACGCTGCAACCTATTAGCCGATACCTCTGGTATACCCCGATCAGACCTAAAAATAGTTATTAACGGCTTGTGATCGGTTCGAAGTATAAACGGAACAGATCTTCCGTAAAGGTATTGGTGAAAGCGACGTACACCAAATACAATTGCTGTTGCTTCCCTTTATGTTTGCGAATATCTCCTTTCGGCTGTATTTAAGGTACGCGACGCGAACGATACCGGACGCTCCACTCCATCGTTACCGACTTGAGACAATATTGCACCTAATTCACTCGGTGAAGCGTCAACCGTTAAAATAATTTTCGCATTGGTGTTAAAATGAGCTAGAACTTGATCGGAAACGAGAATATTTTTATCGTATCAAATGCATTATCGTGTTCGTATCAAATGCATTATCGTGTTCAGCGTTCCACTGCCACTTACAATTTTTTCTTAATAAATTATACAGAGGACAAAGAATTGAAGATGCATCGGAGACAAAATTCCTGCAATAATTAACGAGACCAAGAAATGATTGAAGTCCTTTAATATCCTTTGGAACCTGTACATTTAAGATAGCATTTACTTTTTGAGGGGATTTTCTTAACCCGTTTTTATCAATCACGTAACCTAAATATTCTACCTTATCTTTAAAAAAGTCGCATTTCGTTTTTTGTAGAGTTAATCCTGCATCTTGCAGCCGTTGGAGAACAATGTGTAACCTATTTAAATGTTCTGATCTAGTAGATCCTGTTACCAAAACATTGTCTAGCAAGCACAACACTCCTTCCAACCCCGAAAGTACACATTCCATTACGCGCTGAAAAATAGCAGGGGCTGGAGCTAAACCGAAAACTAATCGGGTATATCTAAATAATCCTTTATGAGTATTAATGCAAGTGAGTTTTTGTGAGTCTTCATCTGAATCACACTGTGCATATGCTTGAGAAAGATCTAGCTTACTAAACTGCTGCCCCCCCGTGTAATTTTGTAAACAACTCCTGAGCTGTATGCAATGGGTACTGAGCAACTAATAATTGCTTATTTATAGTTACCGAGTAATCTGCGCACAGCCGAATCGAACCGTCACGCTTTAACACTGGCACAATGGGTGACGCATAATCGGAGTACTCGACCGGTTTCAAGATGCCTACGCGCACTAATCGTTCTCACTCCTTATCTATCTTATCTCTTAGTGCAAAAGCTACAGGGCGGGGCTTAAAAAATATAGGTTTCGCTTCTTTTTTTGTATTAAGTTTTATCTTATACTTATTAAATGTTCCCAGCTCGTTTGAAAAAACACTAGGGTATTGGGCTTGCAACTTTTCAATGAGGTTTAACGAATTATGGGAGTAGTTTACGGACAACAATTCTAATTTATATAAAGATAAAAAATCTTTACCTAAAAGTGGTGGGCCGCCGTCGCGAATAACATATACATTTAATATATACGTTTTATTTGTATAAGTAAATGGCAGTCCTGCTACACCTATACAGTGGACATTATTGCCAGAATACGTTAGTAATCGCTTATTGGCTTGTGTCAATGGCACATCCTTAAAGTACTTTAAATACGTTTGTTCAGAAATCGCAGTGACAGCCGATCCGCTATCAATTTGGAATTTCATCGGAATTTTTCTAACTTTAACTATTACAGTCATTGGCTCTCCCTTAAATGTGCGAATGTTATAAAACTCACCGTCATCGCCGTTCTTATCAACACGCTAGCTGTTTATAAAAAATTTTTTTTTACACATACAACGCAAATGTCCCTTTACGTTGCACTTTTTGCATTTATAGTTAGCAAATCGACACTGTGCTGCTGTGTGATTTTTGAAGTCACAGAAATTACACACCACTTTATCACTAGCACCGTTTTTGGAGTTAATCTTGAACAGCTGCTCGGCTCGGAGCGGCCTCGGCAGCTGTGCCGGCAGCGTCACCGAAGACGCCGCTGCTCCAGCGCGCGCACTCCGCACGCTCTCCGCTAACTCCACTGCTTTTGCCAGAGTCTCAAATCTTTTGGATCCTGAGCGAATAATTTTTCACGCTCTGCTCCCGGTAGCATTCCCATTACAAAATGGTCCCTTAATGCTTCCTCCACGTTTAGGAATCCACAGCGTGCTGCCATCCCACGCAGTCTAGCAGCCCATTGTGTGCAGCTCTCGCCCTCTGCTTGCATTGCAGAATACAATTTATACCTCTCGCCGAATCCACATTTTTTCGGCGTAAAGTGATTGTCCAATAGCTTCAGTATATCTTCAAATGGTACTGACTGGAGGTCTTTAAGCAATACTAAATCTGTTGCTAGCTTATAAGTGTCTTCGCTGAGTGCACTCAACAAGATTGCTCGTCGCTTAACTCCAGAACAATCTGTAGTTCCGCCGATATCGTTCGCAATAAACTATTGCATAAGCCGACCTTTGTACACTTGCCAGGTCTGTGAATTATGGTCAAAACTAGTTAATAGTCCAAAAAGAGCCATTTTAGCAATTTTGATTTTTTCTTTAACGCGCGGGTAGAATCGTCGCCACTGTTATATATGCGAACGGGACAAGTGAAACTATGCTTAGTTGAATACGCACTGCCCTTTATTCGAATGTACCTATTATTATAAGATGGTCGCAGCCATCACTATACCTACATATACATAACAGTTTATAGTTATTATTTGGGTGGGTGTATGAGAGCACGGAACGTACCAGGGGCGGCGCGTGGTCCGGGTGGTCGAGGTGGTCGATGGCGCGGCGCGGCGGCGCTAGGTGGCGCGCGCGGTGCGCGGCGAAGGCGCCGGGCGCCGCCGCCTCGCGCGCCGCCAGCTCGCCGCCCAGCCGCGCCGCCGCGCGCAGCGCGCGCCACGCGCCCGCGCCCGCGCCCAGCACGCGCGCCGCCACCGCCAGCTGCAACGCGCCCAGCTGCAGCGGCGAGCTCACCGCGCGCGCCTCGAACAGGTCCGGGTGGTTGCACACCTTGCGCAGCTGCATCAGCACGTTGATCACGCTCAGCAAGTTGCCCGACGCGAGGCTCTCCTTCGTCCTGCAAACGAACCTCACACATCACACCCTCACTCTACATCAAACCACCAATGAAACTGGGCCTCCCTAAAGATTACCTTATAAGGGAGGATACTTGCCACGGTTGCCACACTTCACAGGCGGGTAAGCAACGGCAGTTTTTTATTATCTAGTTATGATTAGATAGACGCTGTAAGCGATCTCCTGCTTTATTAATTTCCTATGACACCCACGTGATATTGTGAGATATTTTTGTGTCCGTATATGATATGGTGTACGGTTATGACACTATCATTACACATACACCTTAAGAAAATGACAAGTATTTTGTCAATAAGCAAGATTTGGTAAATTTCTTGTGAGCATACTTTAGCCGTGTAGTGGCAATATAAGTAAATTCACTGCCCCATATCTTCCAGCTGGTTTCATAAAAGACTCAAAGGAAAACTGAAACAAATTAGTAAAAAGCTGCAATGTCCAATCTGCCTCCCAAGTATGGCACCTACAGTAAAAACTCCCTATAAGGCAATCTAGAGGCCTATGCTTAGCAGTGAACTTTGAAAGGCAGTAATGATAATAATATTTCTAACTCATACATGATAAAATCATATTTCATAACTTTTGCTTAACCAATTACCAATCCTCACGTACCAATTTATTCATTCGGAAAATCAAATGTCACCTTTGTAGACCGTGCCAAAAAGTATAGTAATATTTAGAAAGGACTTCTTAGAACCAATAAGTATATAATCAATATGTTTTCTCAGAACAATGCACAAGAGTGCTCAGAACAATTCTTCTCTAAATATTATTTATACTAATTATACAACAAAAATTTTATGAGGATTCGTTTCGTTCCTAAATTAAGCTTCTAAAACAGAAAAAATTATAATTAAAAAATTGGTAATATAAAATCACTGAAATACACGCTGTTCTTAAAAGAAATTATATGCGAATATATATATATATATATATATATATATATATATATATAAATGTTGTGAGTTATCCTTAAAGATATTTTGCGATTTTCGACATACTTTATTTTAATCTCAGATGAAGTAAAAAAAAGGTTTTTTTTAAAGTTCCTGAAAAACGAGATACAATACTACAACTATAAGAGTAATGTGCGATGCGAATGCGAAAGTATATCTGTCTGTTTTAATAAATTTCAACAATTTGACAATTCAAAAAAAGATGAAACACGTAGGCGTCTGTAGATCATTTAAAAGTCTTCTTGATAGATTGTCAAGTGAGCATGTAAGCATCGATAAAATATACAACATATGTAATGTAAAACATTTTCATTATAAAAATAACTTAATATTAAAAAAAAAACTAGTTGGAAGAAAAAAATAAATTTCCATGGAATTAAAAATATACTTTTCTAAATGAAAAAAATTATATTTTAGTAAATATAAAATAGATCAAACTCCAGCCGGGGCACAAAGGACTGTTCTAATTTGTACCATCGGTAGGAGAGATATGAAATATTAGCCGGAGCGGACATCTGAGTCTCGGTTAAACAGAGTTAAGCCGGCTTCGCCGTCTCCGGGTACTAGTGGACAGCATTAAGATTGGAATGAAGAGTCCTGATGTTGCAAAAATTCACGGATAGCGTGACAGGGGTCGCCTAGGTCTTATTTCTCCGCTTGCTCCTAGCAGTTTTAGTCACGGGAAAACCCCCCCCCCCTCCCTCTGAATACGTGGAGCAGCCTAAACACCCACGCTCAGGAAGAGTAAAGTAACTTGGTCGTGGTATCTCAGCGAGGGATTCTTCGTCACCAGAAGTGAGGGTACTCTCTTGGGGTAGTTTTTATTTGATTCCGCTACGATGTCAAGGGGGAGGGGGAATTGGGCCTCCAGCCCAAGCGAAACGCAGAGGTAAACCTCTACTTCACCTGCGTATTCTGTGAGGTCATGGTACCCTCAGCTTCAAGCTGGCCCATCCATGTGACATCAATAGCCACTGCGTGGCTCTACCACTGTCAAGTCGAGAGAATGGCTGCCATTTTGGTTCATTTCAGCTCAGTCTTATAGCAGCTACCCTTAATTTTTTTTGTAGGATAGGATGACAAACGTGCATACAGTCCACCTGATGGTAAGTGGTTGCTGCGGCTTACAGACATCTACATATATCCTCGATTACGAATCAAAATGCAGATGCGTTGTCACCCGTGAAGACTTAGATGGAATGCCTCGTTTCTAGTAAAAAGGGTCTCCGGTTCTCTACACTCACCATACGAAACAGCAGTATTAAGCTACTATTTTCCGCTGGTATTCTGTGAGAGAGTGACAGAATACCAGCCGGCTCGACCCATTCCTGCTATAACTATACTGCTAATAGTATAACTGCAGCATGGCTCTACCACGTAAAAAATTCATGTCTTATTAAAATATTCGTTGGTAGCCTAAAATCATAAATATTTTTTGATAGTAAACTTGTAAGTACTCAACAATTAAAACAAAAACATGAGCGACTTAAAAAATTAGATATTTACCTTGACTTCAATTTGATGTAACATAATAACAACTAATTAAAAAAAATATGCTGACTACATATATTTTTATAACTTGCCTAAAATTAATTACCCAAATCTTGGACCATTAGAAATAAGAAATACTGGCAACATTCTCCCGTTACGTAATCTCGAAACATTGACATTCGATTTTCGAATAACCTTCAAAATTGTGTTGGAATAACCTTTGACTAGAGAAAAAAGAAAGGACATGACAAACCTACGAAAAAAACGTGTATACCTAAACTGAATCTGGCACAAAGATGGCGGCTTGACGAAGTGCTGCGCACTATACTTAACATCGATGATGTGGCGCTTATTTAGAAAAAGATTCTTTCGTGTGATTCGTCTCGTAACACCCGTGTGTTCTTAGATAGGTTTTTTTTTAAATCAATATGACGGATTTTTGGCTCAAAATTGTATATCCATAATTTTTTTACTCAACCTATCGATAGAGGTATCAAAATAAATGAAATTAACCTTTTGAGCGCCACGCCAAAAACTCACTACCGTGTCCTGTACGCCAAAGCGAAAAGTAAACAAAAATACCTACGAAAAAAACAGTGCTGCCAAGAGTTGATATATCGATAACACAAAATAACTTGTTTTTGTTGGTTTTTTATAAAATAAATGACTCTTTATAATCGGGTATATTTTATTTAATCTTGTGCTGTCTTCCACGCTTTTTATATATGTACTTTGTACATAAATAAAAAACGAACAATAACAATAAAATAGTAGTAAACCACAACACTACTCTCCATCGGGATGACGTCACTGTCACGACTGGACGACAACGGCGTAGGTGACCTTTCTTTTTGAAACTTTCTTAGAGATTTAGCCGTGTCGCACGTTGTGTATCGATTTCAAAATCGATCTAACCAAAATATACAGACATCGATTCAAAATATTTTATGGCGAGGCGTAGGCCAAGTGAATCACAGAAGAAAAGTCTAATGCTCTTATGACAAAGGGGGTTTCATATGATGCTGATGTTGCTAATGATTTTGAGATTGAGAAAGAAAATCGCACAACACAAAATGAAAAATTGCTCTTCATACCTTAAGTAAAGAAAACACATTTATTATTTGTAATTTTATATTAATAAAATAGAAAAGGTACATAATCATTCACTAATCAACAATTGTATATAATTATTCGCACTAGAAAAATCAGTCTTATAATATTAAAATCTTGGTCATGGAATAAAAAAATCAGTACTTATTACAGAAATCAACAAATGGTACATAATTATTCACTAATCAACAATTGTAAATAATTATTTGCACTAGGTCTAGTCTTAAAATATTAAAATCTTGGTCTTTAACTCAATCAGTACTTAATATAGAAAACAACAATTAAAGATAATTATTAAATTATAGGTAATATTAGTCTTAAAATAATAAAAATCTTATGGAATAATAAAACATAAATGTTTAGCTGTCCAAAGCAAATTTTCTAACGTGGTAGAGCCATGCTGCAGTTATATTACGGGAGTAGTTGTAGCACGAATGGGTCGGCTCAACCGGGGAAGAACCACGCTGTCACGGAATACCGGCGTCAAATAGTAGCTTAATGCTGCTGTGTTTCGTATGGTAAGTGTAGAGAACCGGAGACCCTTTTTACTGGAAAAGAGGCATTCCATCTAAGTCCTCACGGGTGAGAGCGCATCTACATTTTGATTCGTAATCGAGGATAGATGTAAATGTCTATGGGCCACAGCAACCACTTACCATCAGGTGGACTGTGTGCTCGTATATTACCCTATGCTATTAGAAATTAACCGTAAAAAGACTATAAAGTGTATTCCTACCTCGTTGAGGTAGAGTTAATCGAAAATGAAAAACTTTGGTTTCACGATAATTTTAAATTTCCGAAAATTCATCATCGTCGACGCTTTCCAAAATCCGAATGAGTTCTGAGGAATTGTTCATGTTGCACTGCACTAATTTTCCCGCTAATCGCTTATGACGTCATCAGCGTGTCGTCTATACTTGACCACGGCGCCCAGTGAACTGATTTTCGATGTCGCGCTAAGGATGCGCCAGAGTTGAGATATTAGATTTATTATGCGAAGATAATTTGATATTTTTTTTAACTCATGTAGCTAATTATAGTTTTATATTTCTAACCTTTTGTTTTATTTAAATATCAATAATAATAGAAAAAAAATAACACGTTTGAGCTTAATTTTGAATAGTTTTCAATAAATTTATGCCTAACGCATTACAACACTAGACCGCTACATAGACGACTTTGGCGTGCTGGACATAGTATTTGCTTAGATAAAAATCCATTTTTTTTAGTTCAATGTTTCTTAGTACTTGTGGCTCTAGGAGACTTGTTTTTTATATTCACATGTTGCTGGGTTATTCTTTTTTAAGGGGTGTAGAATTAAAATACCAGTAATAATTTTCCAATGTCTATATTTCATATTTTTGTGGGCCGGGTTTTTTGTAAACTATAGACGTCGTTGGCGCTCAGGGCCCGCGGGTGCTGGTCA